GGTCGCCGACGCCAGACCAAGCGCCCCCCGCGGCACCCAGGCGGCACTTTGTCACTCGACCGCAGAGGCCACGTCCAGGCGCGGGCATGATGGTGGGGCGAGGAAAGGCTGCCCACAGGGCACCTCAAGGGTCGGGGCGAGTCAAGGCCCCAGGGGGAGGAGGGCACCGGCCGGCAAGACCGCCGAGCATCGGCCGCGCTGTGGGCTAGAAGCACTGGCTAAAGAGAGACAAAGTTGATCTAATCAAACCTGCCATCATCATCATCAGCATCATCATCATCATCATCATCATCATCATCATCATCATCATCATCATCATCATCATCATCATCATCTTCATCTTCATCTTCATCTTCATCTTCATCATCATCATCATCATCATCATCATCATAATAATCGTCATCATCATCCTCATTAGAAGCAGCAGCAGCAGCATCATCATCACCATCAATATTAAGCATCAGCAGTCGCATCATGATCATCATCAGCAGCAGCATCATCATCGTCAACAGCAGAAATAGCACGGATAATGAAAACAGTAAAAAGAAACATACAATACAAGTGTGTATATATATTATAATGATAATAATAATAATCATCATCATAATAATAATGGTAATAATAATATTAATAATAACAAAATAATAGTAGTAAAACGGGTAATCATAATAACAAGAATACATAACAACAACAACTGAAATGACGATGAAAATACTAATGAAAATCTGGTAATGATGATAAAACCATGTGGTACACTTGCTAACACGACATAAAGCATGATATTGGCGATACGAATGCACATTAGAATAATGACATTGAAAATGACAATTATACTGAAAGAAAAGAACAAGGCACAACAACGATAGTAAGTTTGATACTTAGTGTAACCATAATACATAAAAATATGGATGGTCATCATCACCATACGAATAAGTAATAGTATTACTCAGAGAAAGAATGATAATAATAATCATCCGTAGAATTGTAGTAACAGTAACGACCATAAAACTAATAACAGCAATGAAATAAATTAATGACACCAAAACTAATAACAAAACTAGTGAGAACACTCACTCACTTAAAATGCTTATACACATGATAAGGATAATGCGAAGACTAATACCAATCGTCATCATCATCATCATCGTCTGCATCAGCATCAGCACCATCAGCATCATCCTCATCCTCATCCTCGTCCTCGTCCTCATCCTCTTCATCATCCTCATCCTCCTCATAATCGTCGTCATCATCGTCATCGCCTTCATCAGCACCATCATCATCATCATCATCATCGTCATCATCATCATCATCATCATCATCAACATCATCATCATCATCATCATCATCATCATCCTCATCAGCATAATCCTCATCCCCATCCTCATCCTCATAGCAGCAAGAACGTCATGCCTCATCCGTCCATGCCCCTTTTTATCATGCGGAACTACACTCTCGGGGAAGCTCTCACGGAGGACGCCGGGCTCGAACGCGGGCGACAACTGCTACAGGTGGCACCCATGCTGCACACATGGCCGATCCCTAGAGCCCTGATCCGACAAACATGCAAATCTCTTGCAGGGCTTCCGTTCTGCTTCCGCCTGCTCCCGCTGGCCCTCCGCGGGCTTGGCAGGCCCTGCTTTGGTCGACTCACACCTCTCGAGCTCCAAGGGGGAGGAGAAGGAGGATGATGATGAGAAGGAGGAGGAGGAGAAGAGGGACGAGGAGAAGATCCGTCGAGGAGCAATGTCAACGTCTCGGAGCCTCGAAGGCGCGGCTTGGAGCGCCCGACAGCGGAGGCAGGCCCCCGGACGCTTCGCCAGCGAGCCCTGCGAGGCGGCAGAACCTGGCCTCCCGGACGCTCCGACGCTCAGACCCTGCCGAGCCGCCGCAGCCCTGCGCCGATCGACGATCGCGGACGCGGCAGCAAGCACCAGCCGACTCGCGCCCTCCCCCACTCCATCCCGAGGGAGGGCAGGGAGGACAGAGGTAGGAGAGGCGGGCAGTGATGGGGGGGAGGCAGTGCGGGGAGGGAGAGGGGAGGGCCCGCCCGCCCGACGTGCCCTCGTGGCTGCGCCGGCGCTGTGGCGCAGGATGTGGCTGCACATCCTGGGCAAGAGCACGACAGAACAGAGCAAGGTTCAGAGGGAAGCCTGGCATGGGGGGTGACAACAGGGATGAGGCGGCGGTGGGGCAGCCGCGATGAGGACGACGACGATGATGAAGTGGCCAGCTCCAGAAAGCTTGACGACACCGTCATCGACCTCTCTTGGGGGCCCCGCCGACTTCCGCCAGCGAAGTCCGCCCTCCCTCGTGTGCTCTCAGGTTGAGGGGGCGCAGGTGGCATCGGGAAGCAGCCTCTCGCCGCCACGAGCCCGCCGCTGGGCTGCTCTCGTGCTGGGTGGCACCGCCGCTTCGCCCGCCACGCGGACCCCGACAGGCGGCGCCAACGGCTGGCCACAGCGAACTTGGCAAGGGGCGCCAAGGCGAGGCACAGCTGGCACTGGCCGCAAGAGCACACTCGCGGCCGGCCCATGCAGCGCCTGGCCAGAGGGGCGGCAACGCCGCTCTTCCAGACAGAAAACCAGCGGGCCGCGGAGCTTCTGAAGAGTGGTGATCCTTGTCGGCCCCCAAAACCTCGGGCCTTCGGCAGGGCACGTCACTACCCACAGCGCCCGGGAGCAGCTGTAGCACGAAGTGAAGAACGAGCGATAAACAGCTTTGCACTCGGTTTCGGCAACGAGAACGAACTTTACCCTTGCAGGATGCCCCGCTTCCACAATGAGGGCAGGGGAAGGATGCAACGGCATCCAGCGAACACTGCGAGCGCGCCGAACGAAACCCAGCGAGGAAGCGTTTCCGGCCCTCTCGTGGACTTCTCGGGGACCCGAGTCTCTCTTGAGGCCTTCTCTCTGCTCTTGCGCTGCCGCAGGTGCGCTCAGAGCGCTGGGCGCCAGATTTCCGGCATTTCGCGCGTGGCGGCGGGCGAGGTTCGGGGAGGGGGGGGCTCCTCAGGCCCCGCAGAAGGACGCCAAACGGGAGCCCCGCTACAAGGTCGGCAAAAGAAATACGATCAGATAGGTTCCTCTGCACTCGAGCTCTGGCTAAGTGTTAGCATCACCAAGCGACGTGTCGAGAGAGCTATTCCACCTGAATTGCCGATTACCTCGCCCTAGGTACAAGCGTCAACGCAGCTCCCTCTTATCCGCCCTCAGGGTATAGTCAAGGCCCACACGTCATTCGAACGCCTGCAGCCTCGCAGGTGCACGACTCCGACCAAGCAATTCGCTCCTCAAGCTGCTCGCTTCCCATGGTCTGTTGTCCCAGAGCATGGCCTCGCTGTACAGGTGCACCCACTCCCCTCTGGCGGTAAGGCCCTCGACGTAAGATCCCATTCCCGGACGACCCTCTCCTAATCCTCCATCGGTACGAATGCTAGGTCCAGCATGCGACGATTGGTTCTGCATTGCCAGTGTGGCAAGGTGTCGGCTGCGGTATTGTGCTCTCGCATGGTGTGCTCAGCTCAATGCCGCCAAGCCCGCGCAGGTAGAACCAGCCTCAATAATAGCATACGGTGAAACGCCTTCTGCGCTTCGGCAACCACTCCGAAGAATTTATCGCCCCGTGTCCTGCTAACACTACTTCCCAAATTCACCCTGGTCTCGTTGTCACCCTGGATCCACGCCAGCGCCCTCAGCGCACTCAGCGACGCAGTGGCGCCACGATACTGGCCCGCTTCGCTTCTCCGATCAAGGTGAAGAGAAATGGTGCCGTCTGTCGACATCGTGCATCGTCTCTTCGTCGTCCTACCCTGTCCCTCCTGGTGGCCTCTCCCTCAGCAGGAGATGATGATGATGATGATGATGATGATGATGATGATGATGGTGATGATGATGATGATAGTGGTGGTGGTGGTGATGATGATGATGATGATGATGATGATGGTGATGATGATGGTTATGATGATGATGGTGATTATGATGACAATGCTGATGAAGCTAATGGTGGTGATGATGACGATGACGATGACGGTGACAATGACAACGACCATGACGATGGTGATGATGATGATGGTGATGCTTATGATGACGATGATGATGATGATGACAATGACCATGGTTGTGGTGATAATAGTGATGATGACGATGGTGATGATGATGACGATGCTGGTGCGTATCGTGATGATGGTAGTGATCAGTATCATGATCCTGATCACGATCCTGATTATGGTGATGAAGATGGTGATGAAAATGGTCATGGTGACGATGATGATGATGATGATGATGATGATGATGATGATGATGGTGATGATGATGATGATGGTGATGATGATGATGATGATAATGGTGATGCTGATGCTGATGACAATAATGGCGATGGTGATGGTGATGGTGATGGTGATGGTGATGGTGATGGTGATGGTGATGGTGATGGTGATGGTGATGGTAATGGTGGTGATGCTGATGATAAGATTGACGATGCATAAGATTACGATGATGGAAGGGATGATGGTGGTGTTGATGGTGATGATGATGATGATGATGATGATGATGATGATGATGATGATGATGATGATGATGATGATGATGATGATGATGATGATGATGTGATGGTGATGGTGATGGTGGTGGTCATGCTGATGTTGATGGTGATGTGTATGGTGATGGTGATGGTGATGGTGATGATGATAATGACGGTGATGGTGGTGAAGATGGTGATGGTGATGGAAATGGTGATGGTGATGGTGATGGTCAGTAGGGCAGGCCACAGGCTTCATTTAGCAAGGCTGCATAGGCGCAACTGCTATAGCACGGACACTGACTGCACAGAAAACGCCTTGCCTTCCGCGCGGAATAGGCTGGACTGACGAAGACGCGATAGCCGTGGCAATCACGAGCCAAACTGGGGACGCGACGCAGCCACGCGATCGGCAACAAGACCGGGCTGGCGAGGACACGATGGCGGTGGCCGTCACGAGCCAGACCATCGAAGAAGAAGGAGGAACAGGAGAACGAAGGGATATAGACGTGCCCTCCCACTGCCCGACACACACTGGCTGAGCGGGTCGACGCCGAATTCGTGGTCACCGTACCGCTCTCCCCCTCTGGACTCGCGGCTCGCCCGCGCCCTGGCCACAGAGCGCACAGCACGCCGCTAAGTACCCCTCGAGTGGCCGCTCGCATTCGCGCTCCCTGCGAGGCGGTGCGCGCGCGCGAGGCGCCCCCGGCTCCGGGAGGACGCGGCCGGGCACCGACGCCCGCTCCGCCACTCGGCGGCGCGCTAAACGAGGCCTTCGGAGAGAACCTCAGAGGCCCTCGGAAGCCCTTCGGGGGCCCCTCGGAGGCCTCTCGGAGGCTCGGAGGCCTTCGGGCGCGCGATCGACAAGGGGTCGGGCAGGAGCGTCTTGAGGCTGGTGGCAACCTGGGACTTGGCGCAGAGGCCTCTTCCACCGCCCGAGGCACCATCGCCACCTGCTCGTGGAGCGCCGCCGCCTGGAGACCCGTCGCCGCCAAGGCCGTGCATGGCACGGCGTCGCCGGTGGCCTGCTCATCCGCTGCCGTACCCAGCAGGCTTCCGGCGCCGCGCGGTGCGCCGGCAGCCAGGCTGGCCCCAGCGACGGCGGCGCGCGCAGCAGACGCTGCGTGAGCCGACCGCCCGCTTAGCTCCACCCTGCGCCCCGCGCCCCGCCGCCGCCCCTCCTCTCCATCCGCTGCCAGCGCGCGCTCCTCCTCGTCGCTTGCTCAAGGACTTCGCTGCGCGTGGCTGCCTCCGCCGCGGGAGCCCGCCACTCTTTGGTCGTGCCGCGCACCGTCTTCTCGACCTGCCACGCCCGTGCCCCGCACGCCGATCGGGGTGCGGGTCCAAGGCCGTCGATCTCGGGCATGCGAACGGTCTCCCGCTGTTCCTGCATCAAGCTGTGAACTCGTTCGCGAATGTCAGCGGCAGCCGATGCTTCAAGGGATGCAACCTCCTGCCCAGCAGGCGGACACGAACCATGGGGTAGTTCTCGCAACAGTCGCTGTCAGCTGCCTGGGGTTCGCAGCCCGGTGAGAACTGTGGCTCAGGCTCGGACGCATCATAATGAACTTGACGCTGGAACTGCTGAATGGTTCCGTCCGACGTCACGCTCTGGAATGTCTTATTGGAAAAAATCTCGGCGACAATGCCAAAGGTATGGACCACGGCCTACACCAGCATCCGTGCTGCGAGGCACGAAGCCCTCGCAAGCCAGATTCGTACTCGGGACAGCGCGCAGCCGAATGCGTGCTTATCGATCTTCAACACCAGGTGTTCGAGTAGGTCGACAGAGCCAGCATATCTATCACGGTGGAGTCATGTGCCTGGTGCTTCATCACAAAGTCCTTCTCCGCGCGTTTGTCAGTGCGTCGCGCCAAACGCGTCGGCTACGTGTCACGCAGTGCGCACGGTGGCCGCATCAAGCACACTGCCTGATCGCGGCAGGGAAAGTGGACGAGGTGCGCCAGGAAGACTGCAGCCAAATGGCAACGAAGGGGGCGGAGGAACCAACAGCACTGCCGTCGACTTGGGCACCTCCCGAAGCCGTCCCTGGCGGCAGTCCTCGAACGGCACCTCGAGTGCGTCCACCGACTCCATTGCCTCTCGGGTGCACCGGCGGAACTGCAGGGAGAAGAAGGACGCGTGGCCGTGGCGGTGCAGTGAGGGCTTGCTGGTGTGCTGCGTGCGGCCTCGTTTGCTGTGCGGCAGTCCGACTTCGGCCACTGCCGACACGTGCTGCGGCCACGACCACGACCACGACTGCGAGCGGCCAGGACCGTGCGGTTCGTAGAGTTGTACCCATCGGTCGGAAGAAGTAGGTACAAAACATGAAGTAGGAAGGCGTCGGAAGTAGAAGGGGTCTCCGCCCGCCCGCTGAAGAGGAAGGAAAAGGAGAAGCCACTCGATCATTGAAGCAGGAAGGTGCTTAAAGTAGACTGGAATCTGGGACTCCAGAGATACCCACCTTCAACGACCGATGGGTACCCGAGGACAGCCCTGGCCCAGAGACGCGAAGAGACACTGTGCCATGACCGTCGCCCATCCGACACAGCCGATGATCCGGAGGGCGCGTGTCGGCACCGTGGGGGCCTGCAGGGGCTCCAGCACGATCGGCGGAGGCCGGCGGCAAGAGCAGACTCTAAGTTTCAGGATGACAAACAAGCGAATCAACAGACAAGCAAACAAAAAAAACAGACAGAGAGGCGAACAAACAAGGAAACAACCAAACAAAGGGGGGGATCTGATTCAGATATATGGGTCAACACCAGCCGAGTGACCCTCACACCAGCCACGTCGTGTCTACACCGGCCGCGTGGTCTTCAACGATTAAATTGACCTTTCACTGGCGGGAGGTGTTAAGAGAAAGAATGTGTGATTATTTTTGGCGCGAGTGCGAGAACACATGGATACACAGAATGATGAGCTTTAAACTATGCTGAAAACTATGTTTTCGTCTACTTTGACTAATTAATATCATGACCACCCAGGCCGCTGTAATGATATGTTCGGGACACTGGTGGTCATGAGAATGATGGTGATGACGGCGATGACGACGATGATAGTATCGGTAATGGCGAAGATAATACGTACGGTGATGATGGTGTATTGTTGGTGGTAATGGCAGTTATGATGTTGACAAGGAGAATGCTTAAAATGATGATGTTAAATTGATGACGTTGGTTACCATGATGGACATGATGATGGTGATGATGGTGATGGAAATGATGGTGATGCTGGTGATGCTGAAAAGAATGATGATGATGATAATAATAATAATGATGATGATGATGATGATGGTGATGATGATGATGATGATGATGATGATGGTGATGATGATGATGATGATGATGATGATGATGATGATGATGATGATGATGATGATGATGATGATGATGATGATGATGATGGTGAGGAGTACAAGGAAAACGTCTTGGACCAGGAGGAGGAGGAGGAGGAGGGAGGAAGAGGGAGGAAGAGGAAGGAAGAGGAAGGAAGAGGAGGGAAGAGGAGGAGGAAGAGAGAGAAGGAAGGATAGGACCAGGAGAAAGATGACGATTGTCATGGTGGCGATGCTGACCCTGATGGCAAAACCTCCAGGAGAGAGGAAGATGGAGGAGGAAGAGGTCCTACAGATGCCCAAACACGTCTAGATGCCTCCAGAGGAGTAGGAGGACGCGGAGGTTGAAGCGGAGGGCGAGGAAGAAAAGGAGGAGATCCAACAGATGGCAAAACGTCACCGAGACTCCCTGATTCGGAAGAGGATGAAGAGATTCGACGGCCATAAAGGGAGAGGAGGTGGAGGAGGAGCTCTTCTTTTTTAATGGGCAAACCCAAACAATATGCTCCCACACGAGGCGACTCGAAGCGTTCACACAGGCAGTGGCGAAAAACTGGCTGGGTGTGGTGCTGATCAGGACGTTTCCTTTGCAGGTCCCTTTTTTACGGGGGGCGACATCCCGCCAGGGCACCTCGGACACGGCACCGCACCACCAAAAGAAACAAAAATCACCATTCCCAGAATGCAGATGCCGAGGAAGAGGGAGGACGGGGAGGGGGGCAGGAGGAAGAAGGAACCAGAAGGCGAAGGAGACGGACGCGCGGAAGAGGGGTATAAGCCACCCGACCCCCCCCCTTCGGCGCGCGCGCGCGCCCGCCGGAGGCAAGGGGCGGGGAGGCAGAAGGGGCGGGAACGGAGAGAGCGGGGGCAGGAAAAAAGGAGAGGAGGAGAGGAGTAGCGGGAGCACCACTGGGCACGGGCCTACATCCGCGGATAGGCCGTTCCACCCAAAATTGACCAGCAGCATCATATGAGCGCTTGTCAGGGTGAACGAATCTGAACCTCTCTGCAGAGAACGCGCGCTAGAAGAGCGGAACGACAAGGAGAAAGGCGGAGCAGGAAGAAGGCGAAAAAGGGAGAGCGGAGGCCTGACTGAACGACGCCCTCGAGCTCAGGCGCACCCCACCCACTGCCGGCAAGGAGCGTGGCCGGAGGAACGAGCCTCCTCAGAACCGCCCGCGCGATCTCCCTCGGCAGGATGCACGAAATCCGATGGGCGATTCGGAGTGAAGCTGGCTCGTGACCCTCGTGCCATGCCGCCGACTGGGCCTTCGCGAACATGTCGAGGACGCTGCGGGCCAAGGGGCTCCAGCCAGCACCATGGGACTCCAGAACCATGGGCGTGAACTTGAACCCGACCGTCGTGCACTCAACGTCCGTGCTCAGAAGGTGCGCTTCAAGTGCTCGTAGGCCAGGAAAACCTCCCCGCCATCGACGGCGGATCTCTCCCAAGAAGTCGCTGCGAAGTCCCGAGGTGCAGGCGAAGCCAAGCGCCTCGCCAGCTGCCCCCAAGACCCGCGGCAGCCAAGTGTCCGCCGGCCTGCGTAGACACTCGGATTGCCCGAGGCCGTTTTCGGAAGGCCTGGCTGGCAGGAGGCCCACCTTCTCGCGCACCGCTGCGGCCCCCGCGAGCACGGCTTCGCCGCAGACCACGTCTCGGATGGCGCTGTGCCTCACTGTGCGGTCGCCTTTACAGCAGCACGTCAAGGCGTGGTTCCCGCAAGAGTCGAACACCTCGCCGCAACATGGACAGCAAGCGTCAGCCAGCACCACCAGCAGCCGCAAGCGCCGCCGGAGAGCGACCTTGAACAACGCCGCCTCGAGTTCCCTCCCGTCGTCCACCCGGGGGGCCGTCGGCCACGCGCCTGCCCCTGGCAACGAGACCAGCGAGAGGTGAGCGAGCCGTGACCCCTCGACCCGTGCCTCCGCCCTGAGCTGGGCCTTTCATCGGGAGCGGCCAAGAGGGGGGTGTCCAAGAGGGGGGGGTGCAAATCATGACTGGCGGCACGTGCGCGGCCCAGCGGGGGGGCCAGGGACGTAATGAAATAAGAAGAGGCGCCATAAAATCTGGGGAAATATCATGGCCCCCGCCATGATATCCACCCCCCTCTTTTCCGCCCCCGATTAAATTGCCCGTCGATGAGGGCCGGTAACTCCTTCTGTTGGACAGCGCCATCCAGCAGGTGCAGGCTGGCCGCCTCCAAGCAGTTCCCCCTGAGGGCTGCGAGTGCCAACACAAAATTGCCGCCGTCGCAACTGACGTCGAAATTGGGGTCGATTCGAGTGCAGAGGCTCCAGCACGAGCAGACAGACAGGACGTATACCGCTGGGGCGTGCACCGCTGCATCACGCAGTCCCCTGCTGAACCCCCTCGCGCTCTGGATTTGCTCGCTCGCCAGCCGAAGGTTGCTGCTGCTCCAGTAGCATGGGTCCGCCCATGGTGCCCGGGAAGGGCGCCACCTCTGGGTAGCGGCCAAAACCGCCGACCTGTCGACCGCATTGAAGGCATTGCTGAGGTCGAGCGTAAAGATGCACTTGTCCGTGCACGCCGAGTTGCGCGAAAGCCACGCGCGGACGGTGTGAACGATGGCCTCGCACCCCAACTTCGTACCCACGCCAAGCTGGAAAGCGCCAAACACTTCACTAAAATCGCCCTTCGCGTCCGAGGCTACGCACTTGCCCACGACGCGCCGGATCGTCTCGCCCGCGGCCAACGGCCGGTGGCTCCCGTCCGGCTTAGGCAAGGCCGACAGCGCAGCGCCGCACAGCCAGGGCTGGATGCTCTGAGGGGCCTCGCCACGAGACAGCGCATTCACGACAGCCATGAGCTGACGCTGAACCTCATCCGTCCACCTGGGGACCAAAGCGTTCTTGATGTGCTGTGGCCGGGGTCCCGATGGGCCTCCCGCGGCGCCTCGCGAAAAGCTCCAGACAGCTTTGACCACCGCGTCGCCTTCAACCTGAGCCGCCGCCGCCGCGTGGATAGGCCGGAGGTGCGCCATCTTCGGTGCCTCCTCCTCGCGAGGCTGCGGGTGCTTTTCACGCATCTCCTCCACGATGGCGAGCGTCACCTTGGGCCAGAGGCTGGTTGGCGATTGCGCCGCACGCTTTCTGAAGCAAAGACTCTCGTAGCAGCTCCACAGCCCTAGACTCCTTCTGTTCCTAGGAGAACTCCTTGCTTCCTCCCGCCCCCGATCCCCTCCGAGCCGTCCGCCACAGCGATCCTCGATGCCCCTCCAACCAAGCACGGCATAACTCCTTTGTCTCGCTTTCGAACTTTTTCCTGTTTTTCTTCTCCCCCTGCACTGCTGTCCGCAAGACCGCCTTCGGGAGCATCAACAGCTCCAGCCAAGCCCGTTCGTCTCCATGCTGGGCCACCTCAGCAAAGGCCCCTGCCAAGCACAGTCCCCGCAACTTCCGGGCGCTGACGGGCACGTGTTTCTTCGTCAAGGTCGGCTCCTCGAGTATGGAATCGAAGGAGGGGAAGTCCTCAGGTATGACACGGCCGCTGACCGCTGCGCGCGAGGCAGCCATCAGCTCTGGGCGGCACCTCGGGCAAGCACGACCACAACATCGTGCCAACCAACACCTTGCTGCACACCTCGCACTGCGTCCGGCCGCGGCTGGGCAAAAAAAAACTCCGAGGGGAGCTCGCCCTGCGGGCGGTCGGAGGCGCGCTCGCGCAGGTGGGGTCGCGTAGCCGCCACCGAAGCCCAGCCCGGCGACAGGATCGGATCTGCTCGTGGGCACCCGGGGGACTGGG